TTTTTCCAAGATATGTTTTATATTTATAATATTTCTAGTCATAGTTTTTACGTGTTATTTTCCATTCAATAAAACTGCTTCTTATACGATGTTGTTTCCGCATAATTGTTTTTAAAAAAAAGCTTTTTCTTATCCTTGTCAACCCCCTCCTTCACATCAGGACAACATCTGCTTCCAGTGTTCATGCGTTCGCTCGTTCGTGCGTTCGTTCGTTTTTGGCTTCAAAATTTCGTATCCTTTTTTTTTTTTTTTTTTGCCACTACTTTTCCCACTTTTCGATAAACTGGATTTTGACGACCCTGGCTAACGAATCTGTAAATCATTTTAAAATAAAAAACCTTTTAAACTGTTCTCATTGCCATTTTTGTGTTTTAAACCTTATTATATGCAAGCTTTGAAGGGTTGCGGAAAGCGAAGATCATAAATTTCCTTTTCTAGCGGAAATGTTCAACTGGATCTTAAATGAGTTCTCCATATTTGGCAAAAGCAATAACAATAGAAAAGAAAAGTTTGACATAAATTTTAGTCAAGGAATAGTATTCAAAGTGGACATTCGGGCGCCCACTGTCATACGGTACAAAATACCAAGGCTTAGGGAAATCACACAATCCGAGGGATCTGTTCGTCAACTGACCAAACCAGGTGCTTGTCAAACGTCCCTGTCGATTATATATGTTTATGTGTTGGCGATCACAACAAAAGATCCCGGGAATATTTCAAATGTACCAGAACAATATGAAATAATCAGCCCATTCTTATTCCGATCTTTAGCATTATTGGCACACATGACGTCAGTCGCTTATCAACCAACTATTGTTCTAAGTGTTAGCCTCCGGTAGAAAACATTGTATCTGGCATATAAAGCTTTAGCAAACGAGTTGAGACCGCACCAAAAACATCGAACGCACTAGTTCTGCCGCTCACTCTCCGTTCATCGGATCATGGGAGTTTTTTTCCTGAATTTCCTTAGGGCTCTAAAAGGCCCGACTAAAAACTTACTCTTACGAACGACTTTGTTTTTTGTGTATCTACTGTTCGGGGCTGCTGTCTTTCAAACCATTGAATCAGGCGAGGAGCGACGCGAGAAACATCACTTTGAACTGGTGCGCCAAAATATGGCAGAAAAATACAATATATCTGAGAAAGACATGGCAAATCTGTTTCTGGAAATTTCAAAGGCGGTTGATGAAGGTTATTTCGATGTCAATTACGATCGGTGGAGTTTTGCGGGCTCGCTTTTTTTCACAGGGACTGTTGTTACTACGATAGGTGAGTATTTTGAATAATTTTTTTGCTTATGAGAAACATGATCAAGAACTGTCCGTGAATTTACCGCCAATTCTTTAGGTGTTCTTTAAGGAAGCGCGCTACCAAAGCAACGAACCTTTTAAGTTTGCGCKCTAAATTCGCCGCCAAAAATGCTCATGGTCCGGGCAAAAAATGTGGTTAAACATAGAATTGAACATCTGAAAAAGAAGATAGAGATTTGGGATATGTTATCATGAATGTATGAAATATTTAGTTCAAAGAGAAAAATATTGTTCTTTAGCATAATATAGAATTATATTTTATGGCTTGTCTTTTTTATAATTTGGTTTATCACCGATTTTGACTTTAAGGTTTACATATTAACCTTTTTATTTCATTAAAAACCCAAAACATGTTTTAAAAACCGGAGTTTTTATGAATTGAGATTTCATTTTGACAGCTTTCCTTTTGTGCTTATTTCTTGCCCATCTTGAAATTACATTTATTAGCTAAATCAAACCTGACTACATGAAAATAAATACCAAAAGAGATTGAAAAAAGTTCTCTTTATCCAAAGATTTATCAATTTTAGATTCTAAATGCATAAATTGAACATTTTCGGTGTTTTTCTGTTCAAGTAGTAAGTCTTTCGTTATGAATATTCAACGTACTCAAGGCTGACACGAAGCGTGGGCTGTTGTTTAGAATTTGAAAGCTTTGATGGATTGCTGCTGTATTTGGCCTTTTTCATTAAAAAATACTCTCAAACATGAAAGGATACATCCAAAACCAATCTATAAGTAAAGGAGAAGTTCACGAAAACTTAAGAAAGGTTGAAAGCTACTCGTTTATATTCATAAACCATCTATTCTGCATGGAACAGTAAGATAATRTGTACATTATACAAAAACTCCTTGTTGAACAAAATATGAACAAGCAAACAATGGTTYGAAGCATAAAATGATTCGTATCACTGCTCTCCTTTATTACGGCAAAAAGGGCCTTCGAATAAGTGGGATAAGCCAGGAAGAACAGAAGGAAAACTTGACATTCTCCATAATCAGTGTAATACGCTAAAATTACGTCTCTAAAAATCTGTCAATAATGTGTGGCTTGAAAAGCTGATGGTTTGAGCAATTATCGGCAACACATGCGGTCTAGCTTTTTCTCATCTTTGGAAGGATTTTATGATAAAGGCAAAACATCACGGATAGTTTCGAATTAGTTTGTAAAAAATAACCACAATGTTCACTGTTTACCCGTCAACAAACATGTACAATTGAGTATATAGCATAAGACAATAGAATTACATAAAATTATGGAAAAATCTATTGTTCAACTTTATCATATACTACCACCGAAAATCTTTGAGAAATTTTTTYCCCGTAAAATTCAAAATAAAATCGGGGAACCTTGCGCACGCTAAGACTAGTTAGAATTAGGATTAAGAAATACGAACACTTTATGGAATTAATCCTTAACCTTTTAAATACGTTAATAATAAGATCATGATGTAGTTTTAACTCTTAAGTTTATGTAACCGATGGATATACACTAGATCAAACTGTATTGAGCGCAGTACATCATCTAAAAAACTCGCCTGACGTAACGTAGCTGCTGCAAATCATCTCTATAAAAACGCTCACAGACTCCGGCATTTCAAGCTTTCATTCTGAGTTAATTCTATCCCATTTTTTATGACAAATCAAATTTCTTAAAAACAAAGTATTTTTCATGATTTTGCCCGGCAGTGGAATGACTTTAGAAGCTTCTCGGTGCGAACAGTGTAAACGTGGCTAGATTATTGCAGCTATTTCCACTTTACTTTCCGGTGCATTTGACCGTTTTGGATTCATAGACGTCATTCGCTTTTCTCATTGTTTTATATATTTTTCTACCAGTACTACTGGCTTCACAATARTTCAGTAATATTAGTTAAAAAGAGATTATTCAATGATTTACTTTCTCATTTTTAAAGTAGATTTTTATAACTTCATTTCACTTATTTTAATTTCATTTTCAAATCAAATCGATACATTCATTTGTACATGTAAGATTTTCAACTATAGTACTCAAATATTCATTCATTCGAGGATTCATTCCCATAGTGAAAGATAACCAACGTGTAGCGATCAGTAAAGCACTCATTTATCCCAATCATCGCAATATTCAATAACGCATGAAAATATGATTTCTTTCRCGCGCGTGGTTCATGACAAGGAACAGCTGTGAGTTTTCGCATAAGAGAGAGTGATGAACGGAATACATAACTCAAATCAAGCAATGCAGTTTTTCTCTCGTYATTACCAAATGATTACTACAGTTATTGAAAGGTGATCGGTTGATCTTGGACGAAGAAAAAATTTTTCCCGGTTTTTAAAAACACATTTTTAGTGAATGAAATAAAATTCAGCAAATGAAATATAGAACGGAAGTTTGTGAACCTATCATTTGTTGAAATGTCCGTCGACTATTCAATGTATTGAAGGTCAGAAATGTATACCTTTCGCCGGTATACAGTTATCGAATCAAGGTTTTCTCAGATTAATAATGTCTAGAGCTAAACGTTGGGATGTACATCCGTGATCCGACGCGATATTTGCCGTTAAAACTCTGACAATCGTCATTACGCGAACGAAGACGTACTGACGACCTGGACTCCGGATGTTACCGTCTCCATTGTCTTGAATTATGAGATGCGCAAAAGTAAATCAGAACACAAAACTCGTTCTAGTCATTYCTTAAGCAAAATCGCTGTTATCGTGAAGAGGGTTTTTTATTGTTAGTGGAACTAATAGCAGCCAAAATTCAAAAGCATATGTATTCGCTGAAATAGAGAAGCAAAAGAGTAGTTAGGATAGATTAAAATGTATGTAAAAGACTACCACTTTTACTGGCGAGAAGATCGAGAAAAAAAATAGGAGACGATAGGCTCACCGTATTGAAGTGTTTGACTTATCAAAAACTACTTTTTTGGCTTTAACTACTGTTTATTTAAAAATGATTTGCCCTAAATATCTTGTCAGCGAGTTTCCATAAGAARAGCTTGATTATCAGCCTTGATAGAAATCAGGGAATGGGAAACGGTTCGTAGAAKTATTAATTTAGTTGTACTGACAAACCCTGTAATGACGCTACCTCGTTTTAMAGAAGGTAAATATTCGAATTCATCTGATATTAAGAAAATGATTTCGGTAATGATCAGGGAAATCAGGACAGTTATTTGGTAATATTTTCTATATTTTTTAAATATATGATGGWTTTGATTGCCAGATACCAAATGACCTTATTTACGTAGTTGATTATGTATGATCTTGCGGTTGGAGATAGATCTGAATATATGGTACGCTATTTATTGATATAACTAACCTCAAAAACAATTTTCATTTCTAGATCTGTTTTGTTTTGTTTTTATTTCGTTTGTTGTTGTTCTTGTTGTTGTTGTTGTTGTTTTTATTTTTTAAGTGGCGAGTTTTGTTTTGCTTTCACTTTTTTTTTTATTTAGTATTTTTAAGTGGCGAGTTTTGTTTTGCTTTCACTTTTTTTTTTATTTAGTAACGGTTGAAGTCGATAACATACCAAAAAGGTTTCCAGTTACCCACCTATAGTTCGATCGATAACCCAGCTCGTTATACCATTCGATCGTCAATATATCTAAGATATTGTGGTTTTATAAGAAATTCTTCACTGACGCAGTTAGCATTGTCAGACATAGTCAAACATCAGGTTAGCATTGTCATAATAGATGAAATCCGTAGGAAGTACGAATACCATCTGCTGAGCTTTACTATGAATGACTCGGCTAGCTTTTYCCCCCTTAGGAATTCCATTTTCATTTGGTCAGAGATTATCGATACTATGCTATGTTTTTTTCACCTGCCAATCTAACTCTCGCTCGTTGAGGATTTCCTATCGATCTTTGAATACAAATTGCCACGTTTATTTTATCCTTTACTTCTTACTGGCTTTTTTCATGTCATTTTTGTCACTGCGAGACTTGAAATCACTCCAACATAAAACGTACAATGACAAACGGATTGAATCAGTTTAGATTCCTTCGAGACGTCAACGTGTGGGAGTTCCCTTCTAAATTCATTATCGAAGTAAAAAATATAGATTGAAAAAAAATGTATATTCAAATGCTTGAGTAAGTCGAATTTCCTTTTTTGAATTGTCTATGAAAACATTCCTCKGGCAATTTTGCCATTTGATTTATTATCTGTTGTGTTACAATCAAATTAATTTGAGAATTATTTCACCTGGTGTCATATTTCTCATTCGGAAAAAAATCACTGTACACTTGAGATTATGGATGGGAGTAGGCCTTGATGCCCYCCTCCCCCCCATTTGCATCAAATTAATACTAATAGTTACATAGCAATTTTGATATAAATTTGATACCCTAAAGAGTAGAGACGATGGGATGGTTTTTATTTCTCGCAGCAAGCGCGTACAATAGCGCAGCGCAACCGCGACGTCATAAAAACGAAGACAAAAGCGAAATTCGGACAAACAAACTTACAAGTTTACTTTCAGCAGATAATTTTCACAGCCGATCGCAGTTGAACTTAGCTTACATGGGTTATTATTGTAACTTTAAGTAAAAATAATAAAATCGGTTCGTATAATCCTCGTAGCGGTTAAACAGAATGCAATGTTTGTCCGAATCTTTAAGCTATTTTTAGAATCAGTGCGCTGCGCTATTTCGTTTTAAGACTACGTATGGCTATAAAATGAGAAAGTACGAATTAAAACACTTAATGAAATAGTAATTAAAAGATTCAAGTATTGTCTCGCTGTAATAATCGATCTTACCGAACTGTATATAAGTGTTCATTAGCCAACAATTCCAAGGCTAACAGATTGTCTGAGGTTTTTATATTTTAACCAGCATTTTAGCAGGAATTATTACGAGAGGGAAAATATAGAATGGCTGGCTAGTAATGACTGCTAGAACGATCAAATGGTTTTGAATATAGCCAATAGAAAGGCTTTTTTCAAGAAAGAGGGTCAAATCTTGACATCATTAAAGTGGTCACTTTTTACAAAATGAAACCGCAGTTGGTCGATGTGCTTGTTAGTCTGCAAGTGGTTCTTGTATTCGTATTGACGAACGATCACAGTCACATCGGTACAGATGGAAAGAGCTCTTTGAAATCAGTGTAATGGCGAAGTTTTAGCTTATAGAAAATGAGACAGGAAAAATAGCATTCGACATAACATTGAGGACTAAAGCTTTTTACTAATATTGAGCTGCTCTTTCCATTTCTCGGTTTCTGTCRTTTGTTCAGATCACRTGGCTTGTTAGTGCATGCAACGCAGTCTCACGCCATGTATTGTTACCATGGTGATAGACATGTCACGCAGTGTCACGCCATGCATYGTTACCATGGTAAAGACATGCCACGCAGTTTCACGCCATGCATTGTTACCATGGTGATAGACATGCCACGCGGTCTCACGCCATGCATTGTTACCATGGTGAAAACATGTCACGCAGTCTCACGCCATGCATTGTTACCATGGTGAAGACATGTCACGCAGTCTCACGCCATGTATTGTTACAAGAGAGCATAAATAAGAGAGGTAAACTTCTTAATAATGCGCGCGCCCTGTAATTTCCCGGTTGGGCTATTTTTAGTAACCGAATGCAGTTTAAATTACGCCTCACTCCACTCCTGTGCGTCGTCAACATGYGCGCACGCTCTTTCTGTTTATCATAACTAAAAGCGAAACGAAAGGAGCGCGCGTGCGCAAGTTGATGAGGCACGGGAGTAGGGTAAGGTTTCTCTCTCTTATTTATGCTCTCTTGATTGTTATCATGGTGTACAGAGTAACTTATTTTTATATACAATAATTTGATAAAAACAAACAAACAGAAACTTTTAGTTTGCGTGACAAATTCACGCAAAACTTTTAGCAAAACTTTTAGCAAAACTTTTAGGCCATACTTCGTTGCCTTTTTAGTATTGATAGGAATGGCATTTACTTTCATTTTTTCAATTTCCTCATCGGAMATTGTAGCAAAACGATTGCCGGYAGATGCCATTTTGTTGCCGACTCAATATTCCGAGATTCAGAGGTGAATATCATACAATATTCACCTCCAATTAACCAATGAGCGCGCGCGTTCTTAGGAAGTACACAAGTTGGTATATGTTGGTATATAAGTACCTTTATCCTTACATCGGTTGTTTCCTTCCTCAGGATACGGCAAGATGGCACCAGCCACAGTATGGGGACGAGTATTTTGTATATTCTACGCCATATTTGGTATCCCAATCACAGGATTAATGCTTAAATCTATCGGAGAGAGAATCACRGAAGGCATTGCTAATTTCTTTCGCCTTGTAGACAGACGAGTGTGTAATCGAGAACCACAATCAATCCATACAAAGACTGTTATCGCAGTGTTTGCTATAGTTATCTCAATGGTACTGTTACTAGCTGCCCTTGCCATGGAATACGAAGGATGGACTTACTTCGAAGGTCTCTACTTCGGCTTCATTACACTCAGCACCATTGGCTTCGGTGACTATGTTCCAGCTCATCCTTCAGAATACCAGAATCACCCAGCATTTGTCATCATTTTTACAGCTATCACCTTCGTTTACTTTACTGTTGGCCTAGCACTCGTCTCCAGTGCCCTACTTGCAATCAGCCGGTTGTTTGAGGACGACCCGCCATGGGGGTTCATTTCCCTGGGAATGAATCAAGATGATGACGATGAAGATCGAATCACACGCGAAAAACTACAAGCCCACAAACTCCACGATGCGACCAAAAGTGATGTCCATTAACATATATTAAATCTATGACTACAAATGTTCGGGAACACATTTATTTATGAATTCCGTTAACATGAGGGATAGACTGTGGACAAAATACAACAGAACAACCTAAATCTATCAGGGATGTTAAGAAATGGGGGATTTTTTGGTTTGTCCTAACAACAACTGGGTATCCTATGTTTTAACATCGACTTTATAAACTGGTAATTGTGGCGCAATAGTCCTTTAAGTATTGGAAATGTTGCTGTCAATGTTCTACATTTTTTCATTGACTAGACGATGGAAAGGGTTTCGTGTAGGACTTACCAACTACTTACAGCTGTTACTTCCTACGGAAGCCAGCCAGCAACTATAACAACGAATCTTAAGTCCTATGAAGAAAGAAGACGCAATCAGACTTAAGTTAAGAAACCGAGAGAGAAACAAGAGTGATAAAGCGGCGGCGCACGTAAAGGATTCTTACCAACTACTTACAGCTGTTACTTCCTACGAAAGCCAGCCATAACAACGAATCTTAAGTCCTATGAAGAATGAAAACGCAACCAGACTTAAGTTAAGAAATCGAGAGAGAAACAAGAGTGTTAAAGCGGCGACGCACGTAAAGGGTTCTGGTGTGATGCAAGATAAAGTGTCGGATGGTGCTGGACGTACTCTTGCAACTTGAAAACTTGATGAACAAATCAAACGAGTCATTATAAAAAGGGTAACATTACTATTTTGAAATACATAAAAATATAAATAGATATATGTGTATATATATAATACTGAACTCCATCTCCAAAGATATCAAATAGGCGGAAAACATTTCCGGTATTATTATGGGTTACGAACAGATATTTATTTTTTGTATAAGACATGTAAATACTTTAAAGTCTATGAGTATTATAATTGGGTGGGCTCAGTTTAATGTTATTGCAATTGGTGCTTTATTTCATCTGTGTGTGTGTGTGCATATGTGTGTATTTAGGCCCTGGCTAAACGAGGAAACATTTGCAGAAACATGTTTACCGTGCGCGCGCATGTTCCTCCGATGTTTCCAAGTTTACCTGCAAAAGTCAACATTCTAAAAGTTCGTTACTTAGCAACGCTCGTTCTATCTAAAGTTCAAGGTTCATTTGAAAATGCGCATGCGCAAACCGATGAAGGAAGCATGTTTCTGAAAACATGTCTCCTCGTTTAGCCAGGGCCTTAGTGTCAGAGTGTACTAAGGCTAGAATAGATTCTAACCTATTTATGTTAGTTGCGTAATCGATCATATGGCGCGCGCAACTGTATATACTAACAGTATACTATCAAATGTATCAATGAATACTATTAACATATCTTATTACTGCTTCAGTATCAATTTAAGGCAGCTCTGGTAGTCTGCCACAAGGCCTCGGGTAAGGCTATCTTATATTTTTCATTACAGACTATATTAATATATTATTAAGGATTATCAGTAATCTTACTAAGGGTTTTTTTTTCTTATTTCTTATATATATCACTCTATATGATAAGTTATATGCCAAAGAGAAGTCACACAGAAATACCACCATGAATAAGGCGAAGTGAGAAAATAGCTTTTATCCTATTACATGAGGTATTTCCATATTTGTGATGTTAAAACATAAATATATTTTCAAATACTATTTTACCTCAAGCAGCGTTCCATCTTTAAAATGTTGTCTAAGTTGATGCGTTTCTTGTGTCGTCGTATCAACCATAAAGTTAGAGTTGAAAAAAAAAAAACGAAGTTAACTTTTAAGGCCGGTTTAGACAGTACGATTTTCGCCTACAACTATCGTATACAACACGCTCGCGTCTGTCGTAGGCGAGTTGTAGGCTTGGTTTACACGCTACGACTTGAGTTGTAGGATGGCGCGAGCGTGTTGTATACGATAGTTGTAGGCGAAAATCGTACCGTCTAAACCGGCCTTTAAATTGGTTGGTACTTACTAAACTAATAATATCCAACATGACAGTTTTTTTATTCTTTTGGGAATCATCGTAAACTAGGAATATATCTTTTCCTAATCTCCTCCATCTATACCCCAGCTCTTCCGCGTTTCGTTAGTGGGTTAAGCTAGAAGTAATGTAGATGATTTATTAGAGAGTTTTAGATTGACTTTTTTTTCTCCCCGCAAACGGCAAAGGTGACCACGTTTTCATCGTTTTCCTGTATTTTACTTTACCTTTTACAAAGCTTCTCACCAAGCGCAAATACTCTTTTGTTTTTCTACTACTGCGCGATTCTTTTTCAGTAATTTAAAAGGATTTTTTACTGGTCAACTGACGTTTCACGTTTGCCGTGAACGTAAATCTAGAACTCAAATAGCAGTAAAGAGGAATTATGCAAGGTTGGGCTGGAACTAGTTTAGTTTATTGTGTAAACTGAGTGGTGCAGGAATGTGTTGAGTAATGGTTGCCTCTTGTAAGCAAGGACCAAACCGGCTTTACATGTAACGCATAAAACAGGATCAATAGTTCTTTCGTTTTTTCACCTAGTAATTTTTGGGATTGTAGCATTTTCAGCCTTGATATATTTTTATCTATCGACAAGCTTCAAAAGTGTAAAGTTAAATACAATAAAGTACTTATAGATAGGTCAATTATACAAGATGAGCGGAGGAATAAGCGGTTATAGAAAGTAATATATACCATGCAATATTAGTTTTATTTGATATTTGTAACAAAGGAGTAATATATAATAACAAATTCATATATTTTCATTTTAATATTATTTTTCCTTAACACTTTTAAATATTGGACAGTTCAGGTTGACTATTGTTCCTCGTGTAACTAAGTAAAGGTAGTCAGGTATAAAGGTACTCTTCTCTTATGTAAAGTAAGTTATGGAAATGGGAAAGGACAATTATATAGCAATGAATATTTTTTATATATAAAGATATCTGCATTATGTTTCATGGAATTGAATATTTATAAGAGTCGTTAAGTAATCGACTATCAAAGCTCCACAAAGAATAGATTAATATTGTAATCTGAATTGCAAACTAAAGCGAAAAGCACTGATGAATGAAGTACAAGGTGGCTGTTTTTGTGGAGCTTTGGAAGACATTACTTGTTAAATGGGTATTTTGTTGAATTGATGATAATGGCATTATATACAATAAAGTAATAAAAGACATTTGTGTTTCGTGATGACATCTCTTGAATTGTTTAAACTGTGATACGCGCACTGTACCTGTCAGGGGGTACACACACTGGATGTCCCTGTCAGGTGATACGTACACTGAATGTCCCTGTCAGGTGATACGTACACTGGATGTCCCTGTCAGGTGATACGTACACTGAATGTCCCTGTCAGGTGATACGTACACTGGATGTCCCTGTCAGGTGATACGTACACTGGATGTCCCTGTCAGGTGATACGTACACTGGATGTCCCT